TTAGGGATTGGACAGGTAAGGGGGAGTACCCCTCCGTCCCATATCTTGCCTGGTATATACGTCAGAAGCATTATGAAACATAAAGGGACTTGACAAGGAATACGTGGATTAAAATGACGAAAATGTGTGTTCTGCACTAACAAAACTGGGTACAAAGATTATTCAGGGTCTGTCGCATCCTTTCAGAAAATGAAACTCCCAAACGGAAAGTTCATGTTCTCTTTAACAGGAAACGGAAAGTAAATAGCTTGGTTTTCCCTGGATTTTTGTAAATGAACGATGACCTCGTTTGTGCCGCAAATTTTGTCAATATCCCTTCGCTGTACTTTTTCTTTTGGAATGGGAGGAGGGGTTGATTTTTTTTTTCCCTCCCAATATCACCAGAAGCATTTGTCACAGTGAATCAGCCGAAATCTCACGCCTGCCGGGTCTTGTTTTTTTTAATCGTGTCCTCACAGGGGAGTGGTTCGGGCAGTTTCGTGGATGTCTACGAGGGACCGGACAGGATGTTCAAGGTCACCAAGCTGCAGCCGTCCACGCTGTACAGGTTCCGTCTGCAAGCCATCAACGACTTCGGGGCCAGGTGAGATCCACGCGGAAGCACTAGTGCTCTTGCCTCGTGCCCATAAAAATGTACTGGACTATGGGGCAGCGCGGACATCCGGGATTCTTCGCAAAATGACAGGTGCTGCGCTGCTGAAAACAGCGACCTTGGCAACGTACGCATGCACCAGCCAGTCCGAGGATCGGGTTATACAATGGTTTCTTTGATCTGTACATACGCGCGCGCTCGTTGCAGTTGTTTTCACCGGCCGCGGTGTGTTTGCTACCCGTATTTTTGTGAAACTCCCAGATGCCCACGCTGCCCCATATCCGCAGTACTGTCTTTCTTACACTCACACTTGTACACGTATTTGCTGCACTGCAGCTGCTGTGTTTTACTACTCGTAGTTACATATCCTCGAGTCCCATTTCCCTACTCATACTCACCCTCATGGAAAGGTACTCAGTTACAACCACATGTACTTCTCATTCTTGTGTGGGAGAAAGGTAACATATCAGCTACGGGAGAGCCTAGCGAAGGATAGCAGGGAACCTGAGCTCGGGCCATGCCTGTGTCAGATTTCTGTGTACATGTACTCTGTTTTTGAATGACAGAGGGCAGTGTGTTGCCTAGAAACAATGTCCGGGGGGATGGAGGGGGGCCGACGCGCATCCCGTGGGCATTCTTGTTGGAGTGTTCTCAATCTAGTCCTGTGCTGACCCATGGCATTTTCAACTGGGTGCTGAGGCGCATGGCAGTAGCAGCGCCAAAGAGAATTCACCCAGCATTTCTTCTTATTACTAGCGATGCGTAACTTGGGTGCACCACTATCTCGGGCTACCTTGGTAAATGGGTAGCTTGCGTGTCGTAAGCCCTTTGGGGAACTGGTGCGGAAGTCATTTCCTGATGTAATTCACCCGACCTGAGGGCTGGTCATGTGGCTGAGCTGATCCAACTGATTTGGTCAAGTTCGAGTCAGATTACTGATGAAGAAAATGCTGGCCCCGAAAACTCCACAAGACAGCCTGGCCCTGTGGGGAGAAATGATCTTGTGACGCAATACCTAAACGGAGGTGCCAGTGCGTCAGCTACACTAGTTATTTCATTGCTACATGATACACCCCCACCCCAAAACATATGCAGAGTTGCTGAGAAGTTTTCCAAACACGTTTGTTCAAAAACATCTGGTATAGTGCAGATCAAGCCAAATCCTATGCAGGTTTTCTTCGTGGTTTCCCACTCTCCACAGACATTCTTTTTTCAACATCCTGCTTTTTTTCAAAACGTGAAAGCCATGACAACCTTGTTTCTGTCTTTCCTTGTGTGAGTCCAATCAGTACCAATTACTGCTCTTCCTTGTGACACAAGCTTTAGCAGAAAGCGGCAAACCCCCCCCATCCCTCATAGGAAGAGAGCCATTAACGGAAACCCCAGTTGTAGGAACCAAAATTAAAGAAGCCGTTTTGTCAACATTCTAAATATGTCATGACTTTGACATTTAAGACTCAAGGGGGAAAGTTCCCATCTGGTGAAATTTGTTGGGAACGTTTTGGTTCTGTGAGATATTTACTTATTTTAAGAGAGTGCTCTCCACGCAGGAGTCATGTCCTGGGTCACATATGGTCATATCAGAGGTGGCATGTGACTGTTACCTTCGGAGCAGGGACGCTAATTGGGGGGCACTAATTCGGGCGTGGTTGCTCTGTCAGTAAGGAACCCATCAATGTGTTCCCATTGTCAGCAGGTTTCAATTCTGGTATTCAAGTCCTGGTCCAGGTATTGTCGGTTGAGTCATTTATTTGTCATTACCAAAGCGCTGAAGATGCCAGCCTGCGAGTCGGAGCCCAACGTACCATTTGTCCTTACTCAAGTCTGATTTCCAAATCGCAAAAAGCATGGGAAAGCTGTGCCGGTGAGTCAGAGTCACAAGTCTTACAGGAGATTTTCCAGTGAGCTCCAACATTTTTGACATTTTTTCCAACAGTTGGAATCGAATCAACCAGTGAATCAGCCCTTAATGGATTCGAACCTCGGACAGTTTGGGTTGAAAGCAGGACATGTTTAAGGTGTAACTCAGCCGTGCGCTTGTTAGTTCACTCTGATCCCCGTGTCTTTCTTGCAGTGACTTCAGTCCAGAGGTCAGTTACTACTCCTCAGGCAGCGCCCCTAACCAGCCCGAACCACCCACGCTAAGAGAGGCGAGTGCCCACAGCTTGCACCTGGAATGGGAAAAGAGTGCCGGGGAGATCAATGGGTATATTCTGGAGATGGATGACGAGACGAAGGTGAGTGCCAGCGGGAGAAAAAGAACAGAGAGGAAAGCAGAAAGCCTGAGAGAAATTATGACCACCCTGCCTGGTGGAAGATGACACGCTGCAGGGTGTTTTGTTAGCTCTGTGTGCACGGATACTGTTCCGGCACTGTCTCAAACATTTGTCATTATTATTGTTTTGTTTTTAGTTTCAAAGTCCGTCTGATAATGAAATCAGGGATTCCTCAAAAGTCCCCTTGGCGCGCTGTAGCTCATGAGCCTTAGGAAACCTGCTGAGAGGAGACAGAAGAAGTTATAGTTTTAGTGGTGGGAGGAAAATCGCAGGATAATGTTATAGTACAACCTGGGGACTCAAGTAGGGACCGAAAACCCCATCCATATGTAGATGGAGCTTGGAGTTGAACCCGGGCCGCAGAGGTGAAAGGCGAGGAAAGAAGCACTACGCCAACCTGACTCCCCATTTTTGGCTGCCCTCATTGGCTACCTAGTTGTTAATTGTTGCAGATCGGTCCGTTACAAGTCCTCAGAAAGTCCAGCACAAGTCCTCACAAGTCACTAACAAGTCACGCAGTCCCCAGACAGAGTCACATGCTTTCCTTTGTTGTTGACCATCCCGTGTTACTTGTGACAAGAAATAAGCTTTGTCACGTATGTGGAATGACTTATGAGGAATCTGCTACGATTTCAGATTGCTTTAAGCATATTTAACCAGAGCGTGACTTCAAACTAGTAGGGAGCAAGACTCTGGCCACCAGGCAAAACTTGTCCTGGTTAAAGTAAAACAAAACACTTGTGAAAAACTTTCTGAGAATCACACTAAATTAGACCGTCTTTATTCATGTGTAGGTCAAAACTGGTGCGACAATTCCATCAAAGTCTCTCTTTACATCAATATGGTTGAGTGTACACAGTACAATTAAAGGAATGCATTGTATAGCAGAATAGGAACAGTTGCTGTAGGTCTGTGATGGTGAACAACTATAGTACACCGTAGACTTGCTACAGGCAACTGGTTACACATAAGATTGATCCACTGACTGTGCAAAGTTGAGCTCTCTCCAGAAGATAAGAGTGGATGGTGTTTTGCCACGAGAAACCACAAAATCAGGTTTTACAGTAAAACTTGATGTTTTGAGCCCGTTAACAGGGCACAGTTTGCGTCCGAGCATTTTTTTTTTCTCTGAGATGTTGTACGGGCTCTTGTGGTGTCATTGCAGAGGTATGGCTTCCAGGTTGTGTATCGAGGAGAGGAGACGAATCATCAATGCAAAAACCTTGCCAGGAATTCAGAGTTTAAATTCAGGGTAAGTGATCAAATTTGGACCTGGGGGCTTCACGTTTCTGTGCAGAAACAAGGAAGATCAACAAAGAACTGATCCCAAGATGAGTATGTGATCACTGCATGACGTTTTTTGGCTGGTAGCCTATTTTTGCTGAACAAAATTTATCCTGTGCGAGGTAAATATCTGAGCTCAGAAGCTCTGTCGAATTGAGCTTTTAGAGTCTTGCTTTTGAGCTCAAACAGTTTCTGAGATAAACAAACAAACTGACCAACAAACACATTAAGAGGATCAAGATGAATGAAAACACCTTTTCCTGGTTTGCAGTTATGTGCCTTTAACGAAGAGGGAAACAGTCGGTCGAGTGGAGTGGTGGCCTTCCAGACTCTGCCTGACGTGCCGCGCGCGCCTTGCAAGCTGTCACTCAAGGGCAAAGTGCACTCCACGGGCTTCAAGGTCTCATGGGGTAAGTGGGCCCTTTGAACGTTGCGGCTACGGCTAGGAATATTAGATGACCTCATGGAAGCCAGTAGCTAGGGCTCCAACCACTTTCCCATGGACACCCATGTTACCCCTCGCAGCCGCCAGTTGATTCGGACAAGGCTTGTCCTTCAGACTTAAAAACTTAAAAACGTGCAAAGTCAAAAGGCTCTATAATTCTGTATTCCAAGCACTCACTTCTGGTAGGAAAGTCTTTTTTTAAGGTTTAAAGTATTGGCAACTTGTAACAGGTGTTTTCTTGCCTTTGCTTTCATTCTCGGCAGACCCGCCAAAGGATGCTGGAGGTTCAGATGTCACGTCATATTGTTTGCAAATGAACAACGGAACAAGTGAGTACCGGAACTTCGTATAGAGAGGCAACTTTCCAGAACACTTTAGACGTCAAAGCTCACTCTTGGAAGCTGAGATTGAGAAATGGAGCTGATTGTTTGTGTATCGATTGCAGTCACTGGTTTGATCTGGCATTGAGTGATGGCCTTTTTGTGGGACGTTGAGGGCTCATGTGTTGCGGGTTAGGGCGCATATTGATTTATTCTTTATGACATTATGAGCAAAGTTTCACACAGTTGATGGGTTTTGAATTACGCATGAGGTTTTATGTCACAGCGAGTGCCTTGCAATTGATCCTTCCCATCGCTTTACTTCCGCCTCCAGATGAACCGTTTCGGTCAGTTTACGAGGGCTTGGAGAGGGAATGCAACCTAGACAACCTGGAGCCAGGCCACACCTACAGACTGAGGGTCCAGTGCTCCAGTAGAGGAGGAGAAAGTGCGGTAAGATTTCAAATGGTTGAGATGTTGGAACACATGCAGACGTTGTTTGATGCACTAATTGGTGACGTTGGTGAACACGAATCTAAACTTTCAACTCTAAAGGAAGTCAAGAGTTTTGATTGGTTATGATGCATGAAAAATAACAGCCTTTGTACCGAAACCAGATTCAAGGAAATCCGCCTGGAAGTTTGGGAAGGTTTGCGGGATTAAGAAAGGTTGAGCCCAGCCACTGTTAGTTCATACAGGGCTTAGTGCCCCTTGAAAGTTTAAAGTGTCATCGGGCAGTGTTGTATTTGAGTCCATCCCAAGTCCTGTCACAAGTCCCTTCAAAAGACCAGTCATAAGTATAAAACAGGGTGAACAATGACGAAAGAATGCTTTGGTCACAGCTCATTTGGATATCTTTTGAATTGGCGTAAGACTGAATGACCATTACGGGGACTTGTGATGGACTCAAAGACAGAACTGTCGTTGGGCTCCAACTCAGTGGTGGTTTTTCGATCACAGCATTTGAGTTGATCATTACGGTGTTTGTCTCAAAGACATTTCCGCCCGGGACTGAGATGCCGCCTGTCGGAGCACTTCACCGCAGTCTGCAGCCCTGAATTGCAGAAATGCTGGATCTGTCCCCCCCCCCCGGCTGTGTCACTTCATACCCAACCTTGAACAAGGGGAAGTGAAGGAGGGTAAACGTGAACTGTGGAAGGAAAGAGAGGAGGGGGGATGGGAAGTTGCGATGACTCGCTCCGAGTGATACCCACTAAGGGTGTTTTGCAAGCATTCCTGACTGCAGCTCCAGAGGGCCGTCTCCCCTCTTCCTCCCGTGTTTTTTGCTGGCTGACAGCTAGTGGGGAAGTAACGTAGTCCCTTGCAAGGTTAAAGGGATCAATCTTTAGGCTGGCCTCTTTCTTTCTCTCAAGAAAGAAAAAAATTCAGCAAAAACAACCTCAGCTGTGCGTCTCGTTCCATCATCCTGTTAATTTGTGGGGAAGCGAGTCCCACGTGAAGCCATCAGCGGCTTCCCTTCCTTAAGCTCATCTGTAACGAGACTTGTCATTTTTTTGGCCCGTAGCCTCACTTGCGCTTAGGGGCCAAGTGCATCACTCACCTTCTCACGAGTCTGAAGGCTGTCCTGTTGACTCAAAGGCCGAAGTTCTCCTCTTAAAAACTGTCACTGAAATTGGTCTGAAGCAATCGCCCTACTGGGCACTTAGTTTCAGCAAGCGCGTACAGTTTCATGCAAATGCTGGTTCATTTTTTTGTGGGGGGGGGAAGTGGCAGATGAACGACCAGTAGCTGTGTAGCAGGAATGCAAAACTGTTGGACCCCTGAGCTTGACTCAGGTTTCCGACAGAACACTTTGAGTTCACTTAAATTGAGTTCAATTCAAAGCACTCTAATTTATAGAGGCAATGGCGTATGGTTGGACAGCTCACTATAAAAACACAAGTCGAACAATTAACACAATTGGCAGTTGAACGAACGTACAAGTCTTTTAACAGTTGCAAGCTGCTTGAATGCACACTTGACAAATGAAACAATACGCCTTCAAGATACAGGTATCCAGCATTTTAAAGTCAAACATCCACTGGAATAATGACACCTGAATGTACCTGTCAACTCCCTCTTCATCTTTGTCTTTCACCTTCCATCGTAGGTGAAACCAGAAGTACCTTGAGCTGTGGATGCGGTTAATCCTAAATGTGTGAATTTTCTTTCTGAAGTTCACCCTATGCTCTGCCTCCAGCGATAAATGTGCTCAGAACGAACACACACGCCACCGGTTATGGGAGCAGAAGGAACAAACAAACTGTCACCTGTTGAAGTTAGGATGCTCCACACCATTTACAAAACTTCTGAATTCCTGCCTTGCATTTCACGTCTCAGATTTTCCCATGGCCCACGTTGGTGCCCTCTGCCGCAGCAGTCGATAGATGTTAGATCCCTCCAGCGCTAGTTGTGTTTTTGCTGTTGACGGAAGGAAAATTAGCAGAGTTAAATGAAGGGTGCTAAATAACGTGGCCAGCTGTTTCTTGTTTTTCTCTCATTGCAGTTTTCAGACGTCTGCAGTGTCACAACGTTTCCAGTTTGTCCAGGCCAGTGCCTACCTCCAAGGTTACACGGCAAGCCACGGGCAACGTCCGTCAACCTCAGATGGAGTAAGACTGTCACTTTAGCTTGCCTCTTTGTCATACGTCTGTGCTGTTTCCATCAAAGCACAGACCGAACTTGGATAAACTGCTTTGCCTGTAATGGATAGAACATGAAAATATCAATTTTTTTTTTTTTCAATAAATTCCTCCCAAGAAGCAATCTGAATTTGAACTGATCGATAACTGAATAATTGGTGGAGGTTACATTTTCAGTGTTTCGTCTGCAGGTGTTGAACAAAAAAGGTCGAATAAAACATGCAACAGGCATTATCTCCAAGATAGGGCAGCCAAGCATCCACACTGTTTCATGTTTGCAGGCTAACACGCGCAAGGCCGTAAAATGACCACATCTTAAATCTCAGTTGTCATATTGAATTCCAACTTAACATTTGTATTGATAACGAGTATGCTAACAGCCGCGTTCTTATCCTGCGGTCCCCTCGCTGGCTGTGAGATGGTCCCAATAAATCTGGCTTTTTAAGGGTCAAGGGCCCTCAGAAATGAAGTCCTTTGGTTGAGTTGGGGCGGTAATATCTACCATATTGTTCAATCTCGCTTCAAACTCTTAGGTCCGCCGGAGTACCACGGGGGCACATCTCTGCAGGAGTACACGATGGAGATGACCACAGCAGCTGACGACACACCAAAGGAGGTCTACCGAGGCGGCACGTCCATCATGGAGTGCACGGTTGGCACCCTGCTGCCCGGTAGACCGTATGCCTTCAGGCTAAGGGCGTTCAACCGAATTGGGGTGAGCAGTGGATGTAATTTGCCTTTGCGAGTGAGGTTTGCACGGCACGCTTGACCCTAACCATGTTGAACCCAACAAAACCTGACACTGGGCTCTTTCTGTGGAATTTCGTTGATGTGAGTAGTGAACAAAAGAAAAGGCCTTTTTGTTCTAGCTGTTGGTTTCTGCGGGGTTCAGTAGGCTTCACACTTTCTGTTGTTAAATTCTGTCGGATTCAGCAAGGTGCCCAGAAAAAACCTGATAGGGGTTAGGGTTAATATGGTTTAGCAGAGTTCCTGAACACAGAGGTTTGTTTAGGACCCAAAAACCCCAGGCTGTCAGTAAAGAAGTCATTGTTAGTCATACTCGGTGAAATTCTTGGGACTTGTCTGTGTCGTGTTTTGCTTCGCACAGAAATTTGCCTGCCAAATTTCTACTGCATGGAGGCTCTATAAAATGGGGCATTTTCACATCTGGGGATCAAGAGCCTGCTTGTGTGCAAGTGAACTTACAACCTATTTGAACTGTGAGCAAATCTGACTTGAAATCAAGTCAGTCGCAAGGACTATCGCAAGTGAGTTAAAAGTCAGTCAGTCCCAAGTAACGTCGCCAGCTGGTTAAGTTCAAGGACAAAGAGTAGTATTGTTCATCGCCAGTTCTTGCTTGTGATGTTACTGGTGACTTATCTTGCGATCGACTTGATTACAATACTGGGAACCGGCCGTGTAACGAGACCACAATTTTCCGCGTACTTGCACTACTGCAGGCAGGAATCGGGCCAGTGAATTGTTGTTGGTTGTCCCAGAAAGCTGTTACAAGTAGTGCTTGTACCAAGAAAAGTGTTGCATCCTCTGCAAGAACATATCCAAGGTTCAGTTTTTTGACCTACATGCAGCCTGGCCCCTTGTCGGACCCCCTGCACGTGACGACGGCTGCGGGACCGCCGGACAGCCCCACGGAACTGGTGGTCAGCAGTCGGGGCACCAGTGTGGCCTACGTCTCGTGGGAGAAGCCCTGCTGCAACGGGGCAGAGGTGCACGAGTACCGGCTGGAGAGGGCCTCGCAGAATGGTTCCTTCTCCACGGTGAGTTCAAAGCGAAAGGCTGACAAAGAACTGGTCACGATTCTCCGACATTCCATCACGAATACAGTGTTGTACTCTGGTTGAGACCATTTGTTGAGTGACCGAATTTCCACCTGAACATTTCCGTGTCTGGTGTTGGGGCTTAAGTCGTGCTTTTGAATGATACTTCAAATGTAGCAGTCTCAGGGGGTAATTTATGCACATTGCAGTCACGGATATCCATCACAATTTGGCTAACTTGCGCTGTGGTACTGTTTTTCGTTGCAAGCAGGGCGTATGTCCATTCGGCAAACAGTCATATATTAAAACTGAAAGTGTATACTTGATACGTTTGTATAGCTGAGGGTCTAGTTATTCAGAGGTGGTCATCGGTGTACAGCAGTACCTCCTGCATCCAGTGTTAATGCGCGCTATGTCCTTTCCTCCTTTTACCGTTAGGTCTACAACGGGTTTGCCCCCTACTGCGAGCTCAAGTTCCTCCAGCCGGCCACCTTCTACTACCTGCGGGTCCAGGCCATCAACTCGGCCGGCCCAGGCCCTTTTAGTGACGTGGCCACCTATGAGTCGCCCCCTTCATCCCCGGAGGCGGTGGCCTCGCTCCGCCTCCTCTCCTCCACCTCGGAGTCCCTGCTGATCCGCTGGACGGAGCCCAACTGCTGCGGCGCAGAGATCCTGTCCTACAACATCGACATTGGGGAGAAGCCCGTCATCTCGGTGCCAGGCCACGCCAAGGAGCACTGCTTGGAGATGCTGCAGCCCAACACCAAGTACAGGTAAAGAAGGACAGACTTGGTACCTAAATGCCCCTCATGACCCCTCACCCTGCATCCTAACCGTGAACCTTAACTTTACTCAACCCTTAACCTAACCATCCCCGACCCATCAAAATCTACCATGGACAGATGAGGAGTTTGCAAGATTTGAGCGAGGTAGCACCCAGTTATTTATTACAGGATTATTTGATTTCTCCCAGAAATTAAAGCGCACAGTTGATTTCCTACACTTTCTGTGAGCTAGGAAGATTCTGGAAGTCTCCTTGCAAGACTGCATCAGGAGTTTGGGTTAATCTGTTGATACCATGTATTGGGTGTTTCGATTTGGGAATCTTTAAGTTAAAGTGTTTAACACAGGACGTTCAGGTTGCAACCAGGTTGCAAGGTTTGAGAACCCATTGCACGTGGTGATAAAATAAGTGGCAAAAGTGTAGAATTTACCATCATGTAAAGGTATTGCGCTATCATTTTATCTCACGTTGCTAGTCCTGGGAGCATTTATTGAAGTCAGTTACAGCTTTTTATCGATTGACTCAAAACTCCACTCCTGAATTTTAGTGCTGTCAGTCCTAAAATTGACTTTAACAGTCCATGACACCAGCGAGAAAGAGATCGGAGGTTCACATCCCACCCTTGACACTGCTTTGCATAACTCAATGACTTCCCGTCCCTCCACCCTCCTTTCTCCCCACCCTCTCCACCTCCTCACCCCCTCCAAGGATACGCATCCAGGCCGTCAACAGCATCGGCGTGGGCCCCTACAGTGCCTCCCTCAAGGTCACAACCAAAGCGCTTCCCCCGGACCCGCCCCGTCTGGAGTGTGCCCTCTATAGCCACCAGAGCCTCAAGCTGAAGTGGGGCGACAGCGTCAAGTCGCCGGTGGACGTCCGGATACAGAACTACACACTCGAGATGGAGGACAGGAAAGGAAGGTGGGAATGGCTCTTGAGAGAGTTCAGCTCATCGAAGCTCTGAACCTGTTGAAACTTCAAATCTACCTTAGAGACTGTAATCATGTTGTCTGTATGGCCTATATTTTAACCCAAAAATGAAGAAAATTGACCATGCCATATTGTGCAGTGGAGTCATATTGAGCAGTCCACAGTCAACCAAATAAAAAGCTACCCCTCTGTCCTTTCGGTTTGTGAAGATGACTCTTGAAAATCATTTTTTTTCCGGCAAGACATACATAAAGGGAAAGGAAGCCACATTCTTTATGTTATCGTCTGGATCAACTGCAGAAAGAGTTGCTTATCGATTGCCCTCATTGACCTTGCTGACCTTCGATAGTCTCAAATGACCTCACTGACCTTTTACCCCTCGCGATCTGTCTCTTACCAGGTACTGTATGGTGTACTCTGGTGCTAACGTCTCCCACAAGGTCTCCAAGCTGAGCGAGCAGACGTCCTACCGATTCCGCATCTTTGCCAGCAACGACGCCGGCGATGGCCCATACTCGGAGAGTTACACCTTCACAACGACCAAAGCACCGCCTCCCTGCTTAAAAAGTAAGCTGTATATGAAACCCGGCGAGGGAGATGACTGTACCGGATCCCTTGCTTGCCTCCCAGGCTTGAGCTTGCCAGCTGCGTCTGTTGCTTGTGCACAAAGTCACTGAGAGCTCAAAAATTCATTCCTTTTTAGTTCGGCTGTGAGAAGATTTGCCTTTGCATGCCATGCTCGAGTGCAACCGTTGTCAGAAGCCCTCCAAAGTCCAAACGTAGAACTCGGTCAGTACAGGAGTGTTTTGCTTTGTTCAGCATGGGAGTAAAACGAACTGACGCACAGAGCTTTGCTCATTCCATTTTTCCTGCAGCGGCTTTCACGCCTACAGCCACAGCTTTCCACTGCATGGATTGTAGGCCCTCCGAGTGCTTTTGAGCCCGTGAAAATTTACTTGTGGTTGCTGAGTGGACCGTGAATGATCAATCACTCTTCCCTCTGTGCTCGCTTTTCTTTTGGTTAGCTCCCAAAGTTAGCCACGTCACGGAAGACTGCTGTGTTGTCGTGTGGCAGGCCCTCGGTAATATCCAGAACGACGTTGTCATCTACCAGTGCCAGTGCCAGAGAGTCAGAGACAGCGAGATCAAACTGGTAAGTTTTTTAGCCTGGGCTCAACAATGCGCAAATATCAAAGGGTGTCGCTTCCAGGGTAATTGCCTGTGGGAGCCCTGTTGGACTGTGCGGATGGGAGTGAGTGTTTGATGGTGGTAGTGTCTCAAACGCTTTAACCCTTGCTCTTGTTTACACTCCAATGCACTCCAACATTCCCGTTAAAAAAAGTGGCTATGTTTATTACGTGGCCCTCCACTAACGGCCACACCATTTCAATGGAGAAACTGTGTACACTTCAAGGAACTGCAAAGAAAACTTGCGGTCAACTTGGTCCAGCTAGTGTATTACACTGATAAGCAAAGCCACATGCCACAATCCTCTTGAGTACACTGGAGTGTACTTCTATTGGGCTGTGCAGTAAAATCACTCCACTGGTAATGCAAAGAATCCTCCCATGCAAGCCAGCTGCAGTGCATTGGCAGGTACTACTGACTTGCAGTAAATTGTTCTCATAGAGCAAGGTTAAGGCTGCATTCGTGTGTGGAACTCTAGAAACTCATGGATTAAGAAAAATTGTTACATGCACATTACTCATGGATCACACTCTGGCAGTTGTCAGTTGTTGTGGGGCAGGCACAAAGCATCCATTCACTTGCTTTCTGACGACTCAACAGGATCAACTCAATAAATCAGTAGGTTAGGAGGTATGGACTACTGAATTTGCCAATCAAAATAGTAAAAAAATACGAAAAGAAAAAAAAAATTGGAGTGAAAACCGATATTTTTCTGTAAGTGCCAAAAAAAAACCCTGGTTCTCTTGTGAGGTGTACAGGATTTCAGGTAGCAGCATCATCCCCAAGTCATTACTGGGCCCAGGCGACATGTCAGCTTGTTATCAGATGGTTACCAGTATGGCAAAAACAAGCCGAGCTAAAACAATGTGTTTGCTTTGCAGAAAGGCAAAAAAAGAAGATTAAAAAAAGTTGGCGTTTTTGTTTGTTTGGTTCTCCCGGCAGGTATACAGGGGTTCGGGCAGCAGCATTATTGTCCCTGACCTGTCGCCGGGCACAGAGTACCGGGTGCGGGCCTGTGCTGTTCGCCTGCCAGAGGACGGCGGGCCGGAGCTGGTGGGCGCCTACAGCCCCTGGGAGAGCTTCCAGACGGCCAGCCCGCTCGCCACCACCGTCGCATCTGCCGCCTCGTCTGTCGCTGCCTCAGAGGACGCCCAGCGAGACGAGGATGCCCCGGCGGAGCCCAAGGGGCTGGAGGACCAGAAGATTGTGGCCATCTTCCTGGCGGGTTTCTTCTTTGTCGCCGTTATTTTTGCTTGGATTGTTGCCTTTTACCATTAACTTATGAAAGAAATTTGCACAAGTCCAAATATTTTCCTTTCAAAATGAAAAGCCACAAATATAATTCCGTGCAGAGGTTTCACACCCATAAAAACCTCGGAGAAAAAGGTACCAGTGTTTACTGCGGGTACTTTCACTCAAAACAGTGTTACCTGTATTCCCATCAAAGGTAAACTGGGGCTTGAATTGCCAAAAACCGCTGCAGTTTTAATTTATCGCCAGCTCAGGTCAAGCGGCCCATGTGCTTACACTTGATGTGCGCTGGAGGGCAGGGTTCGTGCATTTGTGGGTGCCATTCGGTGGGTCATTGTCCAAAATGGCCCAGCCTCTCGTGTCCAGCTTGCATGCCAAGGTCGCCTCCACCGTTAATGCTTTCTCACGAAAGGTGACAGCAGGGGGGGGAGTGCGCAGTGTGGACAGAGGCGTGCATAGCTCCCGTGTGCCCCGACGCATCTCCATTCCCCGTAGCTGTCTGAAAGCCAGTCACCTGATCCTTGTATCCTCCGACTCGTAGGTTTGTCACCCGCATGACACGTAGAGCAAGGCTAGGAGTAACGTTGCTCTCACGTTGCTTTCACCTGTCACTGCAAATGTTGCTGTATCTGCACGGCGTACATGAACAGGTTTGCAGAGAGTGCCTTCCTGCACCCAACAGTCCTGCGGTGTTACTTGTTCACATTTTAATTTTGGCGGGGGGGTCAAACTGTTTATCTCTTGGGTTTTGTGACAGTCGGAAAACAGGGACTTGTGCCGGCAAAAATCCAGAGCTGATTGGCTGACACATATAGCATATGGTACCGAGATGTTCCCCTCAGAAGTAGCACCTGGGTGTCAGTCTGCCAAAAGAGGGCGCTCTACTTAATGCTAACATGGCCGCCATTGTCTGGCATGACTATCCCAGTACTAGCAGCCACAGTGACATTGTGCAACTCTGAATTAGATTGAGGTGTTGCATTGGACGATTGCATTTTACGCTACATGTTGTTTGCTTGCTTTATGTGCGAAAATAAGAATCCATACTTATTGCCCCACATATTTGATTTGATTGTCATTTTTGAAGTTATTCTTCCAGTTTTCATTTTAAGTTTGGGCATTTCTTAAGGTTTTTTGGTCTCTTGCTATGTGGGGACGTACGTCAGTGTACGTGAAAGGTACCATGTTTCATGAGGTTATCCGTGACACCCAGCACACTGTAAAGTATGGACAGCGTTGTTGACAGTAGCCTTATGTTGCATTTGTGTGCGTGCATACTCTTGACCGGGATGGTAAGACATGCCCCCGTTACATCCATCCCCAGTGTTGTTGGGGAAACCAACTTTACCGTGTGGCCTTAAAAAGTCTCGGAGAAAGGAAGTGAGACATTTGTTGGCAGGCTTTGGCGTGTCGTAAGTCATACCGCGGCTGGTATCAGTGAGTGAACCATTGCCCTGGGCCCAAGTAGTTAGCATGGCCAAGTTGAAAATACTGCTTACGAGTTTCCTGCACTGAGCAAAGATAAACTGAGCGCCAGCCACAAGGAATGTACAGTGCAGGGACATTTTGGTTGGTAGCCTGCGCTTTGTTTAGCAATTTTGTCTCGGTGCTTAGCAGATATACGTAGAAATGCCTGCTCTGTGATCGTGGCCCCCGGCCAAAAGAAGTACTCTCACGATGTTGTCTCATCTCCACAGCAAAGAAATTAGCCCAAGTAAAAATATACATTAGTTTCTCATCTTCATTCTTATTCTTTTTTTCACAGATTTCCTTTTGTTTCTGTTTTTAAAGGGGTTTCAATCATTTTTTTTTTCTTGCGATTGTATTGTGACTTCATTTTCCTCACAAAATACATAACTTGGGCATGCACGTGCAAAAAGTGCTAAATAAGGATGACATCTTGCACACACAAAATTTTCAGCCAAACTGTCAAATCCATCTGCCACCCTGGGGGGAAAAAAATGGAAAACGAGCCTTCTCCCTTTCTTCAAATATGCCAAACAAGAAACTTTTTTTTTTACGTGGCCTTTTCACCGTGACTGCTGTGATGAGCATTGTGCCATCTGATGTCGGCTATGCCTGTCAAGTAAGAAGTTGTTTCTAGGTGAATTTTGGGGCTTGATTTTTTTTCACTTGTATGTTCCTGAAAATGCTCTCCATCCTTTCAAAGTCTCTTGCTTGAACACAAACGCAGGTCATTTCTTCCTTGCAAAGAACTTACTTAGCTTCCAAAGTGCATAATCTCCTTTACGACTGTATTTGCATTGTGAGAGTGCTCCTTTGAGGTGCGCCGCGGCTATAAACCAAAGCAGGAAACGAGAACTCGACTGTTTCTGTGACAAAAACTCATGTAATTTAAAACGAATTTAAAAGTCAAATACAGTTACATTTTATTTTTGGAAAAATAGATATTCTGTAAATGATCTCATTTCTTATATTTTTAAATTTTTTTTTTCCTTCGCAAAATGTTCAAAAAAGTTATTTCCTTCTTCATTTGCTTGTAGTTAACCCTTCACGCATGTTTTGTGCAGAGTGAGAGAAAGTCGTCGGACCTCTCGTTTTGAAATTTGTTTGTGGTCTGTGGAGTGATACAAAGTAGCGGTGTTTAGATGTTAATTGATGTGTAAAGTTGTAAAAAAAAAAGTTGTTTCTCTGTTCCTATACAAAGAGGGAGAGGTTGACGCACACCAGAATTCTTCCTGCATACTGTTGTTTGTTTAGCGTGCACCACTGAGTTCTAGACAGTCCAGCCTCTTGTTCCCCAGTCCCTCAAAGTTAAAATTTACCGATGGCTAGTCTTGAAAATGCTTCATAACACTGCCAGCTTAATGTGCCATTCACAGAAAAAAGAAAACGTTCGGAAATGCAGCTCTCTTTATGCTTCAGTTGGGATTTGTTTGTAAATGTTTCGCTGGCGCAAAACGGGGAGTCTTTGGAGGCCTGTGCTGTATGCTCTGTCCCCCCCAAAAATGCATTTTTACAAGCCCACACACAGGGGCATTCACCAAGAAAAAGTGTGACAGAATGTTGAAGGTGTCTGTTTCTTTCCCTGAGCTTGTTCGCTTTGACCCACAACTTTGTGTCACAGCATTGAAAATGGAGGAAGCAAGGCACTGTTCATTAGAAACCTCACGAAGGAACACAAATCTGCCGTGCACTTGTCACAAGCACAGGTGCACATCCCACAGCAGTGAGACTTGAAACCGGTGCGCTTGCCGGACAAACCGTTGATGCACTCTTCCACTTCAAGAGTGATTTCATAACTTGATTTGAAAATCAAACTTGTGGATGGTTCTGTGCTGCGCCGCACATACAGGGAGTAGCCCCAACTTCAGACTTTGGAACCAAAATGGCTATTCATTATTATGTGTAGTAGAGCGTATGGCTGTCGTGTGCTAACTGTCCATGAGCACTGATGCACAACCCACCGTTTTGGTTCCAACATTGGAGACTCTCATGTTGTTACTCTCTCTATAAACAGGTCTGGTTTTGTGAAATTGTTGATTGTCATAAGTGTGAAAGCGGCTTTTGCATAAACACACACACACAAAATAACTAAAACAAAACTTAAAGTTTTCCACAGGTGTGCCAAGTTCACTTGTAGGGGCTCAGAAAAATATTTTCTGAAATGTACAACAAAAAACTACTCCCTACAACTCTGTCAAGGACAAAAGAAAGGCCCAACGTTAACTTTGGTCACATTCTTTGGGGTGACCTTCAGTTTGACTGGAGATGACCTGTGTGATTTTGGCTGGTGACCGTCGTACCCTAATTGGGAAATAGTGGAAATCCCAACACTTTCCCAGCACTAAGTGGCTTGAGTCCATTTGGAAGTCGGAAGATAGTTCTCGACAGTGAAATTTAATTGATACTGTATTATTGTAAATACATCTTTACATAATATCTAGCATAAGTACAATTGAATGTTGAACTTAAAACATATATTTACCTTAAAAATCTGGACACCAACGCCCAGAGTTATATTTTTTTGAAAAACAGAAAAGAGTATTAAGTTTAAATCTGTATGTGCTAGTATTGTATTTCAATTCTAAACGAAAAACTGTACAAAGAATTGAAGAGAAGGAACAAGCAGACGTAGATGATGAGAAAAACAGCTCTTGAATAAATGACTAATTAATTAGCTGCCACTTTGTATGTAATAGATCAGCCAAATATGACGAGAGATGGTAACTGTCAAGCTAAACTACGTTATAGTACTTTGTTGTATGCCTAGAAAATATGTATGTGAATTCTTGACACAGACAACTTTGATTTTTTTTTTTGTGGTGTGGCCGACTAGAACTAATAAATAAATGTATTCCATTTGGAGGGTAGCGCAAGTAAGCTTGGAAACTCTGCAGCGACCGTTTGTGCGAAGGAATGGATTTTTTTTCCCCTTTAGAAACAATTACAGTGAAAGATATTTATGGACGGACGCAGCACAGTTTTTGCATGTGCGTTATCCAGATCCAGTACGTGTTCACGTTACCTCTGAGGACGCTAGAGCACCTCTATTTCGCCACAGCCGGAAGGTGGGAGGCTTTCTTTTTTTTTTTCTAACAAAAATTTGAATCTGCCACTGTTGAATCTAAAAACAAAGTGTGGGTGTGTGAACGTATTCTGTCTCGAAATTTTCTCGTCCACAGGAGTCCCCAATTCAGATATGTTTTCGTGGTGCAGGTTATCTGCTGTATTTTCAAAGGGAACTTGAACAAATTTATTCCGTTTCTACTGAAGAAATAATGCTGCGTTCGTTTTAACAAAGTAAAGAGGATACCAAATTCTACCTTTTTGGTTGAAGATAAAATAATCACCGGGGCCCAACTGCATACAGGAGTAAACATTCCCGCATGTTCTTTCCAATTCATGTTCAAGTAAAGAAAAAAAATAAATATGTATTGTACAAATGTCATTAACAGTTAGTTTAGAACAGGTGAGATTTAAATTGTAAGGCTTTTCTCTCCGATATTATGGTGGAAGATTATAGTGTAGCAGGACCAACACGTTGAATCTCCGATTTACTCCCTCTGGTATTGCTGTCTGTTTAAATGTCGGTTTTGATTCTTAATTTGTTTTTTTTTTTTTCGTTTCCAGATTTAAACATAGTGTGTTGAGGACTTAGTGTTCCAGGGAGAAATATCATTTACATTTTATTTTTACTCGCTTACACATTTAAAGTATTTATATATGTGTATGTGTACACGTGCTATGATTCAAGCGGCTGTAGGATTTACAGTTGGCCATTTTGGAGTTGTGAATATGCTGGGGTGAAATTTGCCTTACAATTTTTCCAATTGACTTTGGTGAAGACGAATGTTTTTTTTTTTTCCCAATTCAACAAACATACATCAGTTTAGAAAAACTGTAACCGAACACCAATTTGGGAAAAACATGTTTTTTTGTGCCGATTGAAAGATCCAATCCTTTTTGTACAATAGGAATTTTGCGATGGGTCTTTTTTCATTCTCTGTGGGGGAGCTGTTGATTTCAAACATACCAAACACGCCACGAAGTCAACAAAAATCCTTGCCATAGTCACACACAACTACCTCCTGATGTTGCAGAAGAGAAGGGGCCTCTATCTGCAGACGGGGACTGGCGCTTTCAAAATTGTCTGAACATCTTAGCACGTCAAACTCTCGGTGGTCCTCGCCCTCAAAGCCCAATTTGGTTTTCTGTTGCTGTCCGATTTGTTCCATCAGTCGTAGGTAGCTTAATTGTGTGTAGGACCAAACCACCAAGATGATTACATTTTAACAGCAATGTATAACATGAAAGAAGGGAAACAGCAACCTAGTCAACAGTTTGGTGTCCGTGGTCTGAAACAAAAGGACGCCCAGAACCAAGGTTCATTTTTTTTTATTGATCACAAATCTGAATACTTCATGATTTTAAACACTTATTTAAATGTAGTATTTAATTGTAGAAGTGATTGTAGGGGACTTTGTGCCTGCCTGTCGGAGGGAAGAAAAGACTATTCTTGTGCGAATTGTAATGAAATTTAATGAATTCAGTAAATTTACAATATTTTTGTGCAGCCCATAGAACATGGTTTAAAAATAATATATTAATATGGAATATATGTAAATGAATCAAATATAAAAAAAAAAGTTGCTGCAACTCGTGGTGGGAAATCTTCAAAGACAAAATGTATGAATTTTTCATTGCACAAAATTCAACTTTGATGGATCTGTCCTAATGGTGAATCTCATAGGTCATTTTTAAAAGAATTTGATGTTTCCTTTTAATTAGGGGGATATCAGTAAATTTGTGTAGGTTTTGTGTCCACTCTGTTGGTACTCGTGACCAGTCAAGTAATTCAGTGAACTTTGGTACTTCATTAAAAAAGAATTCGTATTTTTTGTTCTTTTCAAAAGATAAGAAAACCTCCCTTACGTTAATTGAAAACAGTTTTCCTGCTCCATGAATTTGCCTGGACATTATTCCAAGACATTTTTTGTCAGGTCCAGCACAGTAAGCAAACAACGCCCCCCCCGACTTTGGCAGACCATGCCCCTCGATAAGCTTGCCCATCAATTTCGCCCAGCTCTTCAGAGAAGGAAAAATTCCATCAACTTTTGTTTGTGTGTTTTGTTTGTTTGCTTTGACCAAAGCTGAGGTGAGACAGCATGGTGACGGAAACAACAGCCTTCTAATGGACTCGGTACTTTTGTGCTGGAAATTTTAAGGGAGATTTGTTTCGACACCTTCGAGTGAGCACAGTGCAGAAAGGCGTGGTAGATGTGTTTTTAAAAAAGGGGGTTGGCGATGGAGTAGGGTGGTAAATTTTATTCTTGGGTTTCTTGCGTCGGTTATATCATTTACCGTGCTTGGTATTTTGTAATATAAATTTTAAAAAATCGAAAAATAAAAAAAAAGAAATGCCTGTGTACCAGTTTACGAGAAAGTGTTGGAAAGGACACTTTGCAGCTTCGTATCAATAAAAATGCCTCGCTCCAAATCAGAATGGATCAACTTGTTTTTGACTTGCTTGTGTTTGTTGTTGGAAGGTGTTATAAAACATGTTTGTTGATAAGTTTTTCTTCGGAAGAGGGGTCCGAACTACCCCATTAATTAAATTGTGCAGTTGCTTTTTAGTAATGTCGGCGGCAGATTTTTCTTCTGGGGGTGGGGGTGAATAAGTGGGGGTTATTTGGGGAGGCAATCCAAATATTACGTGAATTCAAAAAGCTGAGATGGAAGGGGCAACCGTGTGCCAAGAATGAAGTTACATTCCTTATCCACTTGGCGGTGTTCCAAATTGAGGACAATTTAGTAGCTTTGAGAAAACGGTTGAATGATCACATTAGCCAAAACGCGAGAAATGGAGAAATGTTTGTATAACACAATGTGGTAGGCTAGCTTTTTTTCTTTCCTCCCCCCCCCCCCCTTCAAAATTGGCTCAAAAAGTTCGCTGGGGTGTAAAGGGCAAAAATGAGGGTATCGCGCGGCTCATTAAAATGCAAAGGTATACTGGTATACCCATTCCATGTCGCTGGTTCCCGACCCAGCCACGTACATTGTACATGTACAGTAGTAAGATACGAGTGCGCAATATAATAATAACGGCTACAGTTGCGAAGCTGTCGTCGAGATCTGTGATGTAAACACGGCAGAAAATCCACGTTATGTCGCTAACTGGGAAAATGTTTGCATCGAAGAGCACTGATTTAGACTCTGGAAGCATAAGTTGAACGAACAGGTTGCCAAGTGCTCTTTCCAGTGGGTTCTGAATCGAAGAAAATCTGCCAGTTTATTTGGTGAGTATTTTGCAGGATTTTTTGGACATGTACTGATGTAGCCTTCTTGTAGGCCTAGCCGCCTGTGTACACTTTGCACAAACGGGCATCCATGAAAGCTAGTTGGGCCTACCTGCCTGGAGTACCTAGAGAACTAGCGGTAGGCCTTGGCTTCTGTCATGTCCTTCCCCATATTCCATATTGGGGTACTTTCTGCTGTGTCAGAATGTGTAGCTTGTATAACATATAGTGTCTCTTAGTGTTACATCGTTACATGTAGTTCTGCCATAGACTGCTACAAACCAATTCGGTGACAAGATTCAGGAACCATGGCATTACTGGGGTGTCCCCATGTGCGTGTACAGACGAGATACACATTGAAATGCTTTCTCAGCCAATATGCAATGGGAGCCCACTGCTAACCAAAATCACGCACATATTAAGTTTAGGAATGTGCACCTGAATGACGGGGACGCCACAAGTAATGGCATCAGGGATTCGGTCTAGGCCAGGCCACTGCTGCATGAAATGCAATACATGTACATGTACGTCCATCTACATGTAACAGTTTTTGCCTGCGGTGTACGGATCGATCCATGGTGTTTTGTACACCTGAGGGGGCATATGGCACTCGAGGCGAAGCCGAGGGTGCCATTTCCCCCGAGGGTGTACAAATCCCATGGAACCCATCACGAAAGGCAACAGTTGTCTTGTTATAGACCTACCATGGCCATACATACACTGGAATGGTCTCATGTGTAATAGGTCTATATGCTGATTTTATTGTCAGATAAATTAAACCACTTTGACAAACTGAAACACTTCAACAGCAAATTAGATATTAAATGACAAGGAAAATTATTGATCGTGATGCCCTTTGTTGATTTATGTTTTTGTTTTTTTAGGGGGAGTGGGAAGAGGGAGAAATCTATGATTTATAACCAACTGGTTACAAATATTTCAAGACATCAAATGTACACCAAATTCCATTGAAAAGTATTAATGGAAGGAGTTTCATATACAGACGACACTTATTTTCCCTTAAAATGTCATAACAGCCATCAGAAAGTGATAACATGTGAGGAGCCAGGTTGGCATAGTGTTTCTTTCCACCTCTGGGGGTCTGGGTTCGAATTCGGCTGGGTCCACAAGTGGATTGGGTTTTCAGTCCCTACTTAAGTCCGTGGGTTTCCCTGAAATATTTACCCAGGGTTTTCCTCCCACCTCTTAAACTGAACTTTTCTTCTTTGTCTTCTTCACTCATTATCATCCTTTAATTGGTGCTAAATGTACTGTTGGATGATCAGATATAAATAAATAAATAAAGTGAAATCTAGCTAGGAAAATTCCCAAGTTTTACGACCAAAACAAGTCTCATAGGTTTGTGCACAGGGCGTGAAGTGTTGTCTCTACATGGATATGGAGCTCTTTCTGTATTGACAAGATTGAAGAGCAGACACAAAGAGACAATGGCGTGAGCGTTATGGAGTAATTGCAGAATACCCCGCCACTCTAAAAAATGACCCCCGGAATGACTGTTTACATTGTACATAGGTACGAGGTGAAAATCCCTTGAGAAGAGTGTGACACTTTGACCGGAGGTTGATCATGCCGTGTGGCAGGGTCTGCAATTGAGCTAGCATTTATAGTACGGTAAACAGCAATGGTGATCGCAGCAGAAACAGTGTTTAGAGCGTACTCGTTTTCCCTGAGCATAGCTGGGTGCACAAACAGAAGTTTAACAACCCATGTCATCATGTGTTATCGCCTTGTACATAAAAATGCTGTTTTATTTGTTGGTCTTTCCACGTGTTTGCGTAGTTGTAATACAAGCTACGATACATGTACATGTATATGCAGGTGACATATTTGTCTTCCGTGGTACCCGTCTGCCTGTAGCACTTGCTGATGGGTAATTCCATGAGGTTGGGGCACGATTTGTGACGGTGTCCTTGTTACATCCGCAACTTTTACCACCTGTCATGACCTGGAGAGTAGGTCATTTACGCTGTAAAAATAACACACACCTCTGTATTCAGCCTTGTCAATCGGAATCCACGTGCAGGGAAATAGCCGTTCATTTCACAGAAACGATATAACAACTGGCACCAGTCTCAAATTGTGCCCCAACCTTGTGGAATGACCCTGATACAGTGTACCAGAAGTGTATACTGTCCGACTGCTGGTTAACAGGTACATGCAGCTAGGCAGAAAAGAAATGTATGTTGCATGTGCGTGAAGTTATATGTGACATACTTGTAGATGTACATTGTTCCTGGTAAATGAAAAGAAACAGATGTTTGTTCAGTGCAGTCTTTACTCTTATGCAAATTTATTTTACCCTCTGCTGAGTTTTGATTAACCCTAACCTTCCCCAACCACACAGAATTGAACAGTAGTAAAGTGTTTCATTCTGTGGGGATAGGTCTGGTAGGCC